CGGATGAATCACAAAACAAACCGGACCACAAGGTACTTGTAGAATACTTCAATCATCGTTGCAACCCTTGCAAATGAACCTCCAGTTTCATCTACTATAGTATTTAGTATAATACAGTATAGTTCTTATAGAGCCTTTGAAAACCAATCGATCCTGAATCGATATGGTCCGAAAGTCAGAATCCGATGGAGTCGGAGTTAACCCGACTCCCCACTTCGGCCTCTCAGGGCACTCCTCTCTACTCGCTGGCCTACGGTGTGGCTGGTGGCATCATCCTGTCTGGCCTGGTCTATGCGCGAAGCCCAAAGGTCGGATGGAATGCCGCCAGGTCAAATGTGCCAGGGAGCACGCCCCAACTAGACCTTTCCTCCGTTTTCTTCCTCTTTTTTAGCGATAGCCTCCAACCTGCTAACGATGGACTCCAACCTACTTGTATTAGCGATGGCCTCCAATGTGGTACGCCATGTGGTGGTGGTTGTCACCAGTTATGAGCGATCTAAGCACCCCAATTCTTTCATAGCTGCTCGGTCACCAGTCGACCGCCCCCCTTTGGACTTAGTGGGACATTGAGAGTTATAGAACCACTCAGCGATCCTGCTACCAATCTTGTAGACCTGACATTCCTGACATCTATATCGTGGAAATGGAGAAGCACCAGTTTGTCGAGCAAACTATAGATACTATAGCCTTTGCAGCAACGAATGTTCACTCTCATGTGAATCCCCACAACATTCCCCAAACCGTCATTAATTTGTTGGAGACTTCTCCTCTTGAGCCATGGACTTCCAAACCTTCACGACCCTGCAACTGGTGCGGTTTCCTGTTTGACTTATGTTTTAAGGCTGGACGAAGTGTCTACCTCATGTGCTTCGACCATGAGTGCCCCTGGCCCACTTGGAAGTCTGGTGGTCACGTCAGAACGGACACACACGACCCCAAACACAACACCGCCACCCCATTCGTACAAATCAGCTGGTTTGTTCATGGTTATATCATGTTATAGGCTTGTATTCGCAATTAGGAAGTACATACTTACATAATATACAGATGGCCATTTTGGCTGCAGAGGGCTTTGTGGCGTGTGGACATTCTGCTTGTTTTTGTTGTGTGTTTTGGCGTCGTGCAAGTTCTGTTGCTAGCAACAGGGCTTGACATGGCAGACGGCTCATGGTACCAGGTCAACCCGGTTGACCTGGTGTCGATCTCGCGGGCGTTGGTAGACCTGGAGGGCTGGTTTGGGCCCAATCTACACGTCACACATTCTACTTGCATCACAGGATGATTCCACGATGAAGAGCAGCATTTGCTATTCTTTCTGTGAGTGTTCTTTTATTCTGTGACCCGCGTTGATCCACTTCAGTGAAGTTCAAAGGAACATCCGAGGAAAACCGTGCTAGTACTCTTAGTGTCCAATCATTTTTAACCCCAGGGGCCTAAAAGAGGGCCCATCTGGTTTTAGTCTTTGGATGTCTTTGGAACCACTGCTTACCAGGTACTACAAGATTCAAAGCCGCAAGCGATATTATGCACGGGCCCCAGACACCCGTGGCCCTCACGAGACGATGGCATGCTGATGGCCCGGTGACACTGGTCGGTTGAAAGAAGCAACCAGACGTGGAAACTCTTCTTTTAACTGCGGGAGACAACTGAGATCGGTTGGGTAACCTGTCCATCAACGATTAGTTGCGGAAGCGTTGGACATGATCCTCTTGACGAGCAGAATCTCAATTGAAGGGTCTTTAAAGTGAACAATGAGGCATTTGCTGGTCTAGTTTAACTTTCACGTTATTTTGCCGTACTGATAAACTGTACGAGCAAGATACGTACACAGAGCATTCAACACTGTCCTCTCAAGTGCCCGCCCATAGCATGATGTCCGTAGCCACAGACCCCAAAAGATCAGGGATTTGTTGGTACCCACGGCCGCTCGCGGTTGGTTGTGCAACCTACAAACTTCTCATACGAACTGTCCATTCTCCTGATTGAGAAGCAGCACTAGGGTATTCAAGGTACTCTCAGATTTTCGTATCTACAAACACCCCAATATCAAAGCAAAGGAAAGCAAGAAGCTGAACCTGCAAGATGGCCTAGGTGCATTTTTGTGTCATTGTTATTCATTTTTTGGGGTGGAGCTGAGCTGAACAGACATGGCCCCCACCCCCACAACTGATTTACATGCCCTGCTGATTCCTATCTTCCTCCTGCTACATTGGATGTGACCGGTGCCCCATCCCATTCCGATGCCCTGATCTGAGATCCCTACTGAATGCCCTGATTTTGTGACCTGAGGAGAAGCAGCTTTGCTTCTTCAAAGAGCAGGAGGAGACGAACAATGCCCACTACATGGCCGCCTTGTCCTCCGAGTGCCCGTTCTGCCTTTTGTCGATGGTACGTGGATGCATTGCTCTTAGATGGGCTGGGTGTAAGGAGTCCACTTTGGTTGCCCTCCCTGTGTAACAATCATGGAAGCGGAACGCCCCTGGAAGACAATTGTCTTCTACCAAGGGGGTCTGTCGGTCTGTTTGCTCAGCTTCCATGAGTGTTACAAGGAGTGTACTTGTTCATTGTTGTAGTACTCCTGTTGAAAGAGTTGCCCAGTTTTTTCCGAGTGGGTCTATCAATTTGGGTCGAAAGCAACACCTCCTGCTTTGGGGGGACTGACCAAGTGTTCGTTGACGATTCTGCTGTCGAGTATTTTGGTGCCCTGAGTCAAATGGCTGAAGATTCTTGTTTGGCCTTCCTTTTTCCTTCCGGACGTGCGTGCGTGCCGGACTCGCTCGCTCTTTCTGGATGCGTGGCGAGTCCCGCGCCCATAGGTACAATCCCGTGGCCACTCGTATGCCCTTCCAGCCCTTGGACTCCAAGTACCGCTTCTGAAAAGAAACGGCCCGACGGTGGGAACGCTTCGGGCTTGTCGGTTGCAGGTTCGGGCGAAGGATGGATGGAACGGACATGTTCAGTTGAGCGATGACAATGTCCTGGATGTCCCTCGTTCTTCGAAACGATGCATCCTGCAAAACTCCTCAAATCAGATCTCACGCTGTTTATCAATGTGTGCGCTTCTGCATGTCCAAATCGGATAGATTTGCAATGCAACGAACTCAGACCCAAAAGGCTCGAACCTGGAGGATTTGTTGAAATATCTTAGATTGGCGCCACGTTTGGTGTGCTTGGCCGCGAAGAATGCCTTCACGATCTTCAGGTATGAAAACGGCAGAAAAACAAGCAGCCAGGTACTTCACTTTAGGTAAGCAAGACCAGAGAAGAGAGTATGAGCGGGTGTTTGATTAATTTGGGATAGGGTCAGCAATCATGTCATGTTGGAACATATTCACTGCAAAGTGAGCTCTCTCTCATCCGAAAAATAGAAAGGTCGAACGGTGGTGACAAACGCCTGAAAGAACATTCCAACAGTTTCAGCTCCGGTAGGTTCCGGTGTCGTTTGATCTCTCGAGTGACGCACTCCAGCAGTTTGGTTCGTTCAAGACTGCACTTTTGGCGGTTACTTGTACCCGCAGTCAAGGGGAGCACAGACACAGAAGGCCAAACTCTTTAGAATGAGTTTGTCTTGTAGTGGGCCATGTTCCTTGTCCTAATGAAGCTAAGTACCAAGTGGGTCAACAATGTATGCTTCCAGACGGTTCTCAAGACTAAAGGCTGGACAGCTTGATGAAAGGAAACGCATTGAGCTTGTCATGTCATGTTTTTTGAATGTTGCTAGGTGGTAAAGAAAGAACACATCTAAACGGTATCTCACCGAGGCTTCCGTTTGACCTACTCGGACTTGGACAGATCGGTGTTCAAAGGTTTCCGAAGGCTGCGGCCAGGCGTGTGGCAACGGACGGACGTGTGTTTTCACGGCGCGGAGAAAAGTGATGCGAGGAGGGGCTGTGGATGAGCCAAGAGCAAGGTTTTAGGGTTGTGCCGGTTTTAGGAACATGTCGTGCCAAGAACAAAGGTTCCAAGTTCCAAATTGAACAGAACCCAGGTCTATGGACAGCGTACGTTCTGGGGCCCGAACCTTCCTTGCTTCGGGAAAGATGGCCAGCATGGTATGTCACTCTTTGGGTTGTGACATGACTTCGGAGACTTATAGGCGCACCCACAGACACCAGCTTCAAGGGGAATTGAAGGGCTGCGGCTGTACCAGAATCACATCGCGCAGGAACTCGCAGTTGGCTTTGAGGAGCAAAACACACTCAACTGGCAAGAACCGTCAAAAAGTAATTATTGAGGATCAGATACTGCAAGTAGAGCTGTAAGGTATTCTTCATCCTTTTTTTAATCGTGAAGCTGGAGACCGCGCCCACAAAGGAATGAAAGGAACATGCGTCGGTCTGCTAGAAACTGAGGCTTGCTAGGCCCTCGATGAAAGAGCTTCGGCATTGAGAGTTGAATAAAGCCAGATGTGGTGCACCCCAAAAAGAAGAAGCCATGGGCCATTGCACACCAGAAGATATATGAAGAATTATGAAGATATCATAATAATATTTTGAAGGTTTGTTTAAGCTTCAATTGCACAGCCCTGCCCTTCAGACGAGTGGAGACTTTCCGGGTGCCCACACGAAGTGCGCCGAATTGCGTGGAGGGCCTGTGATCAAAGTGCTGGGCGGCCGTGCAAGCGGTCCCCTGTTTGTTCTTGCCGGCCGGGTAGGTTAAACGTTGTTTACAACCAATTATAGACGTTGTTTTTGTGGGATGCACAAAGGCTGTTCCAGTGGTACTGCGCTTGTAGATGTTGTTCTGCTAAGACGGGGCTGTAGCGGAATCCCTGACAGCATTGCTAGGCTTAGATTTGCACAAGTACATGCTGAACCCATGCTCGCGCTGACAGGGTATCCCTCCCCGGGGTACCCAGAGGCCAACTCCCTTAGTTTGGATCAGAGAAGTACCACTCATCATAAGCGTTGGCACTCCCAGCCACATGAATTCTCGGCCTCAAAAAGGCGATCAGCACGTCTGGAGTTGAGAGACTTTGGAGTGGCGAACAGGCTGAATCAATGGCAAACATCTCAGGCTTCGAGGCGGTCCTAGCGAGGCACCACTGGGCGGACATACCGGCGGAGTGAGTATGCCGTCTTAGGGGGGATGTGCGGTTTCAGTACTGTGAGGGATGGGCATCGGGTCTGACCATACCTTTCGCATGTTCTTTGTGTTGTTTTATGCGGGTTTTTCTTGTTCCGCTTGTCCACACTGTAGGTGTCACTAGTTATAAGTTAATCTTAGAGTTTCTTAGATGTTGCTCGACTGTACTTGAAACTCCTTCCGATCACCCTCGTATACACCGATTGACCCGACTGTTCCTTTTTTCGTCCGTGAGAAGGGCACTCGTTCAATGATTTAAGTCCTGGAGCTCAGTGCGAGTGTTTTTTTTCCCGTCAGCCGACGAGTGCGAAGATGCACTGCAGGGAGAAAGCACGAAGATTTTGATTTCTACTTAGTGATTGTCGAAGAGGTGATGGGTGGTAACTCTTACTTCTTGAGGCAGCCCCAACACTGGAGTCTCTCAAAAGGTGCATAGTGTTTGCGCTCGATGACTATCGCCGGATGCGGTGTTCATCAATGCCCGACACCTTTTGACCACTCAGAGCGTGTTGGCCGTACTTCGGTCGATGGAACAGCGGACCCAGACGGACGCGACGGCAGGTCATGCTGGTGCGAATTGATACCGACGCATGACTCGCACTGAGGAAAAATGAGAATTGACCCATGGAATCGACGCACTTTTTCCGCATTTTTCCTCTACACCACATCGCACGGATCGATCCCGCTCTGTTGATCCCCCCTTGGATAGGTACCGGGTAGGTAACAGAAAATGACATCATCACTACGCCGAAAAGGTTTTGAACCCAAGTGTGAAAAAAGACACGTGAGACAAGAAGCAGGATCCATGGTGGATCAAGCCGAAATAAGTAAACAAGATCCTACCCATGCAAGACTAAATGAACTGCTACCAGACGCCCACTATGGGAAGCTTACAAATGAGAAAGTCTGTACACCTCAGCGTCGCGCAGCGACTGGGTCATATGCAGCGAAGGAAAAATACCAGAAGGCAGGATCATCAACTCACTCGCCACTGCACTTTTTCGCTATGACAGAATCTAATATCAAAATATGAACTATCAACATGACGAGTCATTGGCTTAGGCCGATGTCGATGACATGTAAGTGCCTTTTGGCCACATGGGACTTCAATAGTCACCAAAAGAGTCTTCACATCAAGCACGACTTTCAGAGCGCAACTTTCCGTAAAAGCCCAAGTTGGGAACCTCCGTAGACCCTTTGAGAGTCGAGTGAGAAGATGTCCAAGTCGAAAAACTCGACAAAGCAAAAAGGAACTCCAAGAGAAGATACTATCACAGCGACTATACCATCTTGGCTCCAAGAACTCCCAAACATGGAAGAATGTCGCGTCTTCCCACTCTGCTAAATCAGGCGCTTCCTCAAAGAACATGCCTCACTCATCTCTTGACAGACTTCTGGAAACTTGGCTCATCACCAAATGAGTCGAACACATTCCAAGGTTGGTCTTTGCTATGATCATCTCATGGCTGGGGACGTGGATATGATCCAAAAGGGGAGTGACAGGCATGCCGGAGGCCTGAGCCACAGGTTTCGGCGGTCCATGTTACTCTGCAGGGGAGTATGCAGTGACAACAAAAGAGGTGATTTTTGATGTGGATTTGGTTGCCGAACTGAACATCTTGATGAACATGTCTCCCAGCTCGGCACCAAACAGCTTTGGAAAGACAAGGCGTCCGACTCGACTCCGTCCGGGGTCGCCAGGCTGGAGAGCGTTGCAGATCGCCTCGAGAAGGCGTGTGGGCCGTGTGGGTTAGAGCTTGTTGGTTGATGAACATCGAAATGGCACCCCTCAGGTGGTACTGGCTGTCGGATTTGTGTGATCTGTTGCGGAACGATTTTCCTTTTGCCATGCACTACAACAAAATACAACAAATTTATATTTACTAGAACTCTGTCTTGGGAAATCTGATCTCAAACAAAAGTCTGGAGCTTCAGTTTGGGTGATTTTGGATCATGGTCACTTCAAAAATCATGCGTCCGTCAACTGGATCAACACTACCTGAAAAGTAAACCCGCTTTGGACGCCTCCTGGCCGTTCTGATTTGCAGATACTTATATATTGTAATTTCATGTTGTTTGACACATGTTTGTTTACATATGTATGCATACATACATTATATATACATAGTGCGTGTGTATATGTTACATATATTTTGCAAATAGGATTGTAGGCCAAACACTTCCTCAAATGTGTGGTGCGGACACATACTCAGGTTTGTTTATTTGTTTTTACAAGGTGTTGCAAAAAATTGTTGGTCATCATGTGGAATCTTCAATCTTCAAAACCAGGGACCGGGTTGCGGTTTCCTAAATGCTCTCAGTACATGTCACAGATACGTCCTAAAAACATCATCGACATCAGCAAAAAACACTGTAAATACAACGGTTTTCACATATGGCTACGGCCAGAAACATAAGGCTTGGATCAAAAGGACAACTACTAGTGCTACCACTGGCACAACAACAACCACAACAACTACTACTACTGCTACCTTTGCTGCTACTAGTGTTGTTGCTGCCACCACTCCTACAGCTACTGCCACTACACTTGCTACCACTACTGCTATTACTACTACTACTGCTGCTGCTACTGCTACTCGCTACTATCACTAGCATTACCACCACCACAGATTTAGCGGAAGCCACTAGATTCAACTTCAAATTGGCTTCCCATTCTGGCAAACAGATTTTGTGGAATCCGCTAAGTACGATCACAGTTGACTTCCCATTCTGGCAAATAGATTTAGTGGAGTCCGTTAAGTGCGATCACAGCCGGGACACCGTGGAAGTAGAGAATTGAAGACCAACGCTCTAACCATTAAGCTATGGAAGCCTCTGAGTGGAGGATCCAACCCAACTAGACGATATTAAAGAAGGCGCCAGAAGACAAGATAGTGGAAGGCCAATCAGAATTAGCGGAAGCCGGAAGCCACTAACCAGTGTTTGGAGCGAGCCTCCAATCTAGAGAGCTGCTAAGCCACCACCTACTAAATGACTTGAGAGCCCACTGAATCACCAATTTGCGTGGCTAGCTAATAGCCTTTTTGTGCTTCTTGTATCGTCTTCTTGAACCAAAACAAAGGCTGGAGAAATGAGGTTAGTGCCCGAAAACTTTAATCTCCAAGGCCTCTTGTTAGCCCAAGAGGAGTGAACCAGCGCCCAAAGCCACCCACTCTGCCCAACCATGGCCCAATATGAATTTAGCGGCGGCCAGTACTTCAAAACAGGCTTGCCACAAACAGGATGGCTTTGATCGAACTGGTGAGAAAGTGGTGGGGTGGAGCGCCACCATGCAGATGTGTCTATATCGGGGGCTTGGATCAAGTGACTTGTCGGTTTGATCCATAGGGCTTGGATCAGCGCTCTGATCCATAGGGTTTGGATCACTCTCGCTGCAACGATCCATACCAGGGTTTCTGGCCGCACCCATATGTCCTGTCTCTGTTCAACAATGTCCTTCGCCGTAAATGGCCTTGTGCAGCTGGCTTGTCGACTCCCTCACAAAGTTCTGTGTCAACAATCTATGAGACACGACCAACCGCAGAAGAACAAAGGAAAATGCAATAGGCGAAGACGATATCATCCATGAGAGTTGTCATCCATTCACAGGAGATTGCTTGGACTCATGGATAAATTGAATCTCAAGTTCTTGTACGCGTCACATTTCAGTGGTTCACTTGTTTGAATCACTCAACTCACTTGTTTGCTGTGTCATGTGTTATCGCACCTTGTACCACACAAAATGTTGGCAATTGCGGGGTGACGTGCACATGCACATATAGTTATATATATATATATATATGCTGGTATTTCTACACATATTCACACAGGATCGTGATGGTTTCCTGCCTATCGCATCCCACACCCACAGGGCCCTATGAGATTCATCACACGGGGAAATTGATAGTCCGTACAAATGAAAAAATAAGATTTCAAGTCTTCAGGTTCAAAAATTGAGGGAAAAAAGGCCCGGAGTGCCCCCCCTCTTACCAAACTTTAAGGTTTCGGTGAGTTACGTGAGTATTGGCCATATGAAGACGGGAATTCGCCTCGAACTTCAGGTTGAAACATGCTTTCAATACTGATCAGGGACAGGGACAGCAATACAATCAAACCAGTTGAGTGCTGGATGATCGAATATGATCGCCCAAAAACGTACACCATATTTGTTTGACGTGGACTCTGCGCCGAAACTTGAACGAGCTTTCAATGGACCACATCGCACTGTCCATTTGACAGGAAACACCAGAATCTAGGCATTGGATGAAAAAAACACAAATTGGCTTGGGTGAGCACGGTGAATCACTTCCTGCGGAACGGTGGGGAATGGGCTGCGGTGCCCACTGAGAGCGTGAGAAAACATGAGGATCGTTTCATGATAACTCACAGTGCTGCCTACACCCGCAATGCAGGGCGCTGCCGTGGGTGGTGGTGGTGGTGGTGGAGGCCAGGGGGGTCCATCGTGCTTGTAAGTTTGATTATATCATTGCTGCAAATGATTGATCAGTGGGATTGTCTCTTACACACCACAGTGGTGTGGGAGGAAACCCCGAAGACACGATATGACACTCATTTTTACCAATTCCACGTAGATGTTAGGATCAGTTTTCTGTGAACAACCCTCCTGTTTCTTTTTTCCCTAGTAGTAAGGCCAGGAGCCCCTAATAGCGTCCTTGCTCCTAGTAGCGATGCCAGGAGCCCATAGTAGCGTCCTTGCTCCTAGTAGTAGCGATGCCAGGAGCACCTAGTAGCGTCCTTGCTCCTATCTCTATGACAACTTACATTCTGCTTTGGGCAAAGGGTCTTTGTTCCCGACGTTTTCGTCGCACGTTGGGCGACTGGGTCGAACGCTGACTCAGCGACCACTGGGGTCTTCCAGTTTTCCCGGCGGTTCCCGGTGAACCCAAATGAGCTCAGTCACTGGTGGTAGTGTTTTTCAGCACAACAGTCCTCTTTGGCTTGAGGTTGCGAGGTATGTAAGGTAAGCAGTATGCAAATCTTGTCTAGTTCATAGTGACCCCAAAATCGCGAAAAGGCATTCGTTGTGAGAACCGTGACTTTGGTAGACCTCCGATCCTGCAGTGCCCCACCGTCATGTCAGGCAGTCCAGGAGAGGATGTGCCACCCATCGCACAAGCGTCATGCTGGCCTGTCCAAGTTCGCTGCTTCGCCACTCTGGCCGCGAAAAAGCCCCGAACGTCGCGTCCGATCGCTCCTAGTAGTAAGGCCAGGAGCCACTAGTAGTGTCCTTGCTGCTAGTAGCGATGCCCTTTGCTCCTAGTAGCGTCCTCTACCCCACTCAATCTTCTGGATCCATCGGTTATTTGCAGTATGCTGCCTGCAAGAGCTGCACTGGAGCCACTTGAGCTGCGACGTTTTCCAGCATTGACAACACAAACCCCGAGGACACACCATGAAAGCAAGCCAAATCAAAAGATGAGCTGCTTATAGTGCTGCTTATTATTTTGAAGCCTGCCAGGTGCGTGGACTTGCTAGGTACCAAGAGAGACTCCGTCGAATAATGTAGAATCTTGATCGAGACCCCCCTTCGATTGAAAATACCCTTTGTTTGGGATGTTTTGTTTGTCAAGAGTCTACATTATGGTATATTATGGTTTCAGTGTTGTGTCAAAACCAGTGCGCTGGAATGTGGAGGCCACCCAAGATTTTGTGGTGTGCAATCAGCAAAACTGCAGGAATGGTCCATTCATGCACTATCATGACAGTGAGGACTTAAAAACCACCAGACACAGTACCAAACCTTTACATAGATAGGCAACTCAAAATCCTGGAAAAGACATCTCTCATGTGTTGTCCAGCATGCAACATGCATTCATCCACGCCCACGCCAGGTTTGATGTTTTCACGCAGAGCAAACTGCCGACCATTGAGCAGCTTGGACAAATTCTCTGTATATATATATATTATAGTCTTCTACGGACATCTATGGAAGCAGCATCAGAAACCCAGTGGATCTACCGAACATAGTGCCTAACCTTGTGGAAGATGCATTGAGGTGTAGTTCAACAGGATGAACAAACCAAATTCTCATGGGACTTCTCAGTGGTTGTTTCTCCTCGCCTGAGATGACCATGCCTGGAAATTACTTGGATCAGACTTTATAGCACGTTATAGCAGACTTTGCTGTATGCCATATGCCTATTTACACTTTTTTAGACGAGTCACAAGGACAAAACATCTCACCCTCTCACCCTGCCCCCCCCGTTGACCGTGTGTGCTTTAGAGTTGATGGACCTCACAAAGCTCGAGAATGATGACAGTACAAGCTGGAGGGGATGAAATCCAAATTCACTCAGCCATGTGTTTGCTTGCACCGAACAGCCCACGTGAGTTCGAATTCTGCATGTGTGAATCAACGCAGGGGCTGTGCGAAGGATTTGGCCAATCAGGAGCGGGAGCCATGACGAAGCCCCCACAAAAACGGGCAACCTGATGCACGGATGGTCCAAAGAGCGTCCACGCTAATAACATAAAGTGCAAACGCTCCTGGTTGTTTTGGAAGATGGTCTTTCAAGGTCGTTGGTGAAGGATCGGGGGAGGTCAATATGTTGACCCAGTTACTTTTTGAGTCGACCAAATGTTTGGCAAAAGAAGGTCAACTAGCTGTACGGGATCTAGGACGGATGTATGTGCTCTCAAGCTTCGTGTGCATGTGGTGAGTCCAAACAAAGGCCTCAGATTTACGGCCCTTTGGTGCTGGAACATCCAGTTGTACTTCGCAAACCAGATGACTGACACAAAATAAACTTAAGAACCCATAATGTTGAGATATGTTGAGATACGTTGAATGTGTCTCCAAAACATGGGGACGCTTTCAGGAAAAATAGATGAACCACGCCTTTTGAGATAGACCCAAGATGGGGATGTTCAAACCTGCTGTAGTCTACAGTCAATTGTGGATAGACAGGAAGGAACAGTTCTGTTTGATTTCTTTTGAACAAAGCAACCCACAAATTATGTGTCCAGGATGGCCTCTCCATTCTCCATCTCTTTTTGGACTGTTCACTCCCATTCCGCCAAAGGTCGAGTGGGTGACTGTGTCGACCAAGAATGCATCCGATCGCAGGAGGTCACTGATGCCACCGCGATCTATGCACAGGGCCTGCGGTGCGCCCAACCTGAACGGACCTGTCGTCGGTTGTGGGAACGGTGAGAGGTTTCGGCAGGTGCAGGCGAAGTCCAAGGCGAAGTCAGGAGGATTTCGAGTGGTCACAGATGAGTGGTCTCGTTGACATGTAAGAGACTTCAAGCCCTCTTGCTGACAACGGTTGAGAAGAAGCGATTCGGATTGGCGGTGAGAAGTTTAGTGGGCTGTTGTGTGTCGACCAGGGTCGGCCAGGGTCGACTAGCTCGATGCAACTCCGGTCAAATGACCTACTACTAGTAACTAATTTGCTGCTACTAGTAGCTCATTTGCTACTAGTGGTAGGCTTGGCAGGTCGGTTTGATGAGTCTCACCGAGGATCCGTGATCCGTGGAGGGGGTACCACCTTGGAGCCCAGAAACGCCAAATGGGCCTTTGATTTGAAAGAAACATGGGAAATCCAACACCCTGCCTCCATGAATCATGGAAGTGGAACATAGACATAGACCTCTTGAATCCTGGAAGGCCATTTTCCTTTGCCATGGGATGATGGTTTGAGGTAGGACATATTTTGTGCTACAGCCACGTCGAACACATGTGAACATGCACCCAAGTCCCAAGCAATATTTTGGAGCATCAGACAAAGCAGGCAACTGAAAGCGCAGATGTGTCAGAGGTTGGAAGACGGACAGCCCTCATGATCCAGTCATTGTCCTCCAAGCGCCCAATGTTGCTATTTGTTGCATGCTGCATGTGTTTGATTCTTTCTGACGTAACATCATGTTGCATACCTAAATCTGAAGGTCTGAAAGCATTGGGAAATTAGTCATCGGTCTGAAAGCAACGTTCATTTTGTTCTTGGATGAACCAATGGGATCAGGGGCAAGCACACATGTGGATGATGAGACCCTGCTGGGCTTTATCAAGAAAGATTTGGAGCGTGCAGAACGGATGCCTGGCCAATAACTTAGCTCTGTCATGTCTATTAGTTTTGGCATTTTTTGGTACATGTTACATTCCAAGCTGTTTCATGTTCAGCCAAGGGGATCCAGTTACCACTACCACTATAGCTCATAACCAGTGGCTCCAGAGACCAAATCCATAGACCCACAGTAGAAACCTTGGTTCCTTATATAGTGGTAACCAGGTAGTTTCATTGTGATTGAACGGCAAGATTATCTAGATGTTTTTAGCACCCCCCACGAAGAGTTTACAACAGCGTGCGCGGTTTGTTAAAGAACCTGATTAGACATACCTCCGTTAGGCTAGTGGCAGAAGCACGTTGCCATGCAGATGACTCAGATGACACCTTTTTGGCACCTGCAAGAGTCACTTTCAACATTTGCGGTCTTGATGGCACAACATTTCAGCTCGAAGCCAATAAGACTGCCACGGTGGAAGATATTTCCAAGCGTATCGCTGCACAAATTGACTTGCAGGTGGGTAAAATGCTGGTGCTGACATCGGGCGGTAAAATGTTAGAAGACTCTGAAGAGGCTGAAGGCTTGTGGCAACAAGTTTCCGATGCAGAGGTTACATACATCATACAACAAGTTAGCGCAGGTCAGGCAGTGGTTTCTTTCTTGCAAGCCTTGTCGGGAGAAGAAGGAGTTCGCTTGTGTGCGAAAGATGTGTGTGCCATTGATGCAATTGCCTCATTGACCTTTGGCGAGAATTTCAATGAGAGTTTGAAAGGCGTCCTGCTGCCGAGCCGTTTGCAGAATTTGACTTTTGGCAACGATTTCGACCAGAGCCTGAACGATGTCACCTTCCCAAGCAGTCTGCAGACTTTGACGTTTGGCGACCGGTTCAACCGTTGTTTGAAAGGCGTCAATCTGCCTGACAGCTTGGAGACCTTGACCTTCGGCTATGCCTTCGACCACAGCGTGACAGGAGCGCTTCCAAAGAATTTGCAGACTTTAACCTTTGGTCATTCCTTCAACCAGAGCCTTGAGGGTGTCTTGCTGCCCAGCTCTTTGCACACATTAACCTTTGGTCATCGCTTCAACCAAAGTCTGCAAGGGATTACGCTGCCCAGCAGCCTGCAGAACTTGACATTTGACTCTGACTTCAACCAAAGCTTCGAAGATGTCAGGCTGCCAGAAAGCTTACACACTTTGACCTTCGGCTATGATTTCAACCAGCCATTCCGCGCAAATTCTTTGCCTGAGAATTTGCGAACCCTAACCTTTGGCAACTGCTTCAACCAGAGCTTGGCTGGGGTGAAGTTGCCATGCAGCCTGGAGACACTGACCTTGGCCTGCATTTAGCCTCTCTTTGTTGTTTTTGGGTTTAATATGTGTTAAATTGTTTTGATATCGACAATGGTTATTACTGACTGGTGATGAAATTGTCACCCTACTCCTAAAGTAAATGGTCAAACATTTTGTATGGGGGAGACCGTGAAGTCATCGTCAACAGCAAAAGTCACGACTTCAGTGCCACAAAAACCACTTCGGCCGCACTGGCGCCCGACTCGTGGGGCTCCCTGGTGGTCTCCTTGAACCACACAGAACCTACCAGTAACAAGAAGCTACTAGTAGCTCATGGCATTACTACTAGGAACAAGAAGCTACTAGTAGCAAGTGCATCGCTACTAGTAACAAGTGCCTTACTAGTAGTAACAAGAAGCTACTGGCATTACTATCAGGAACAAGAAGCTACGAACGTAACAAGGGCATCACCTGAACCTCCAGACTTCTTTTTAATGATTCAGACGAGGCAAGCAAGTATTACCTACACAAGTAGTACCTGAAGGATAGGCATGATAGGGAGTGAGAATGGGCAAGTCAAATCCCAGGGTTTGCTGATGTTTATCACATCCTGCTTGGTCTCAAGCCGCTTGGCCCCAGGATCTTTGGTGACGAATTCAACCAGGTGGGCTGGGCAGAGATTGGGCAACTGGTGTCACTGGTTTTGGGATAGCACAGGGCCCCCGATTCTAACAGTTCATGTGCTAGTAGCTTCATCTTGTCTATACACAACATATGGCTTCGTGCGGCTTCGTGCTACCTGCAAAAGCCCTTTTTGTGGGCTCACATTTGGAGGCAAACAATCTTTGCTATCCATGGGTTGAGTTCGACTGAGGTGTTGGCTGGCGTGGTTCTGCCAAGCACTTTGAAGACCTTATTCTTCGGAGAGTCCTTCAGACAGAGCTTGGCGCAGGTGGCACTGCCAACGCTGAAGGCCTTGCGTTTGGGCGATGAGATAGAGAAGACGCTGGAGGGTGTCGTCCTTCCAAGTTTGGAGGCCTTGACTTTGAGTTGTGATTATCATGAAGATCTGGGTATTTCGGCAGTTTTTTAATTAGTTTTGCTTGTTTAAAACCTCCTGTGGGAATCGTTGGAACATACTTGGATTGACTCGTTTTGTTTGGTGGGACTGCTTCAAACTACCAACCAGGTATCACCTTGCCAGCTACCCTGCAACTCGGAGAATTGTTGTTCCGTCGTCGCGCTTGCCCTGCCGCACGACGACCTCAGTAGGTAGGGGCAATACTTGATTTGGTGACCCAAGCAATCCAAGTGGATGACTACCACAAGATTAGGTCCTCAAGCCGTCGGATTCATAGGACATGCCCCTCTTGGTTGGAGGATTCCACTTTTCTTTCAAAAAAGACGTGGAGTGTCGGATGGGCGGCCCTTGGGAAGCTCCATCAACTTCCGTCTATTCTGCAGCTGTGGGTGAACGCGGCTTCCAGTGGTCGGGGAAACCGTGGACCGTCAATGACCGGCCATAGCGGCCCAAGCACCGATGCGACCCTTGTGATGACTTGGCCGGTTCTTCCAAGTCCATCCGAACTTCCCAGGACCGAGTTGACAGTGGGAGATTGTCAATGTCCCATCCCATTGCCGGAGAATCTGCAGACCTTCACCTTGAGCGGATTTCTGGACCTGCTCGAGGCGGCAAACCTTGGGGTCGCAGCCACTCCTCAGTGAGTCGTGATTGGAGCCCCCCTCCAAAAAAGGAGGCTCTGGTTTTCTGGGGTGTCGTTGAATGGATGCTCCAGTTTGACCTGATAAAACACGTTGTTACAAATGCTTAGTGGGCCTGAAAGACTTGAGCCTTCTTTTGGTGTAAGTGCTAGGATCATGCAAATTATATGCCAGGATCAGGAACACGGGGGACGGGTACAGTACCTGCCAAACAACAGGCGGTCTTCAGGGCTACATGATCATTTCCAGAGTGCTGCATTTCAATAATCTGGGTCAGATGATGTCAGATATAAGCATCCCAACATACCCCAACATGACAGTTGGGAAATCAAAAGTACGCGCTCAGCGGTGCTCAGCAAGTTATTCTTTATTTGTGCCACTTAAAGTTATTGGACCCTAAATAGCAGGAGTCGGACCATCCATAATTTACAGCAGGATTCAACCATGTTCAACCCATTGTGCAGGTCATTGTTCGTGCGAAAAATGGGTATGGAATAAGGACAGGACACCCCATCAAGACCACGGGATACCTTGGGACCTGTGCGAACACTGTTGGAATTTTGCTGGGAGTCAGACATCAGAACTGATAGACTCCGAGATTTCCTGGAATCGAGCTATCTCAATACACATTCTATCAAATTATACAATATAAGTTAAGTAATTACATTTGTGAACAGCACCACGGAAAGGGCTATTGGAAGGACAACACATAGTCAGTGGGGGTCCATGAACATTTGTAAGAGCCCCTCTAGTCTATTCTGTTCATGTTCGGTGGCTAAGAGGTGTCCCCCGGTTTTGACCCACAGCCATATTTGAAGATGTTTGAATCATATACCTATAAAGTGCATGATCTTACCGTGTCAAGGTAACGTATGTGCAAGCAAATAGCCCCCTAATAGCTTCTTGCTCTTGCTCCTAATAGTAAGGCCAGGAGCCCCTAGTAGCGTCCTTGCTCCTAGTAGCAAATAAATTTCTTGTGTATGATTCCATGTTATTTCCTGTTTGTCCGCAACAGTCTCAGCATACTTGATCCATTGGTGACGTTTGAGGAAGACTGTCCCAAAACAATGTGATTAAGCAAAAGCACCCAGTGTTCAGTTCCCCCAAAAGGCTTGCCCTGATGAGCGCCAAGAGGACCAAATTCGTCCTTTTCCAGGTCACTTGGCCAAGCCGAATGAGGATCTTGGCATTTGGCGACTGTTTCCTGGAATTATTAGAAACAAGAAGCTATTAGTAACAAGTGCCACGCTAGTAGTAACAGGTGCCTTGCTAGTAGTAACAAGAAGCTAGTAGAAACAGGAATCCTGGAGATCAGGAGATTTGGATATGGCATGTGGCCAGCAACTACAATGCACCTGCCACAATGGTAACAGAAAACATGAACCAACACCTGTGGTCGAGACTTGGCATTAGAGTTTCTGGCCATACTCATGTTTCGTTGCTGGATACTTGATAACTATTTATATGTAAAAATGGCATACAAACAAAAACACAAATCGAGAAGGCGGCCCAAACACGTCGAGTTTCTGGTGCGTTGTTCGATTGCGACAAATCTTCCAGGTTTCGATGAGATGTTGGATGGTGTCACTTTGCCCGACACACTGCAGTCTTTGAGCTTCGGAGTTTGCTTCGACCAAAGCTTGGCAGGGCTGAAGACTGCCCAAGAGCTTGAAGACTTTGACCTTTGGCGACTCGTTCAATCAGAGCTTGGCATCACCACCGCTACCAGAAAGCCTGGAAGCTTTGACCTTTGGGGTTTTCTTCAACCAGAGCTTGGAAGGCGAATGCGGCGCCAGTCATGTTGGTTTGCCTTTGATCTTTGTAATGCTTCAGAGGGAAAGAAACACGTTACTCACCGGGCCGGGCTCCTAAAACTCATTCTCTATTCCCTGAAAGGTGTGAAACTACCCGGTAATCTGCGGACATTGAGCTTTGGCATTTCCTTTAACCAGAGCGTGAAGGCTGTGATATTTCCTTCCAGCTTGGAGACCTTGGCATTTGGAAGTGAATTCAACCAAAGCTTGGCTGGTGTCACATTGCCCAACAGCCTGCGGACCTTGACCTTTGGCGATCTTTACGATCAACCCTTAGACCATGTAACGCTGCCAAGCAGTTTGGAGACTTTGTCCTTTGGGGGAAGTTTCGACCAGAGCATGTCAGAGGTAGCGCTGCCAAGTGGCTTGCAGACGTTGACCTTGGGCGAAGGCTTTAACCAGAGCTTGGAGCATGTCCAATGGCCAAGTAACCTGCGATCCTTGACTTTAGGAGAATTCCTTGATTCCCATGAGAGCTTCGAAGGCGTGGTGCTGCCAAGTAGCCTGCGTGAAATGGGTGTAAGGGACTTTCATTTGCAAGTCCACTTGGCATCACATAGCTAGATCACCAAATGAGTGAGCTGCTGAAAAGTGGTGAAAAAGACTCTGGTGCATTTTTGGTTGGATATGGGACCGAATTCTCTGCCTGTTTGAAAAGGGATTGGGAATCCATGAAATATGATGTTTTATTGCCATTTAGAGCAGTCCTGTGATTTCCCAGATGTTGCATGATGGGCGCCCATGCCGGCACTGATGAATTGGGACGGGGCAGACACACCCCGAAAGACTGTTGCCCACTTTGGGTTTGGCCTGATACTCCCGTGTTCATTCTCCATCATGCACATCTACCGGCCCATTTTCAGGCTTTTGATCAGGTATTCCGCATGTCTTAGTATCCCTAGTAGGTTGGAGGCCATCGCTAGTAGGTTGGAGGCCACAAATGAGATTCCCGTTGCTATTAGGTTCCCATAGGGCCCATAAGTAGGTTTTGTCCTATTACCTGTAACAGTCAGTTAACAATTACAGTATCATCATTTTTGAACAAGGCCTTTACTCACCATCATCATCCACTGTTGCAGGTAATAGGATAGACCCAGCCCATATCTATTAGCGATGACAGATTTAAAAACAAACGGGCCGCTTCAGTTTGCTGGGACTCTTGGAAACTGTCAGCCCTGGAGCAGAGCCGCTTCGGTTTGGACGGTGCCCCACTGTCGCACGGGGCCGGGCGTTTAAAGCACGTTTTTCTTAATGTGGATCAAAGCGAGGCATGGTGTTGGGAAGGAATTTGGTCTTGATTACATGTAGACATCCTACAAAAACTGAAAGCGTACTTATTAAAATTTAAGACCCTGTTGGAGACATCAAATCGTTCCAGCATTTGACGGTCCTTCCCTCGGAGGGTCGACGGCGGGCGCTCTCCCTCTCAGGTTGCTGAGAGATTTGCTCTTGGCCACTGGCAGCTGCCAAAAACCTCAGGCCGCTGCAATCCTGCCCAGCTGCCGCAATACATGCGTCCATATGCGTCCTAGGGGGACGAACGGTCTTGATTGGTCTTTTTCGGACTGGTTATGACATCTACGCTCCACGGGTGTTCGTTTCGACTCCATCGTGAAGGTGTTTGCGACCCAAGAACTTAAGGGTCGTATGTCATATGCGCCTAACATTTGGATGGCGTGTGTGCCCAGTTGTGTGCCCCTATTAGGACCATTCACCATGTGTGATCATGTGTGCTGGCAATTGAGTCTTGCTTTTGCATGAGGTTCTTGATCCGCATACGCAAACACCTGCACAATTGGTTGAATTTTATGTGATTATTACTCCCAGCCAACCATGTGGAGGACGTGTAACCTGCCAGCGTTTTGTTGGCTTTTCCCGTGTTAAACGATTTTTTTGATTATTTTTGAGGTGTTACTGTGTTGCTCAATGATACGGTCTTGTTTGAGGACATGAACACCTGAACCGCCACATTAACTAGCAACCAATTCATGCAACATCTCATCCAGGGACTCAGAGTGGTTCGAGTCAGACTGCATGTTTAACTTGGTGCACTGGAACCTTAGCTGGTTGCTTTGGGCTTGCCAACTTCAGGTGGGTGATGTTGTGAAAGTTCCTTCCAATAAATGCCCTCGAATCTGCAGCATCAGAAGAGCAAAAACCTGGATAATGTGTTTCCCCAGACTCATACTTGTGGCCCACCAGGAAGAAGAAAATCCTCTTCCAACTTCCAACCAAAAAATAATGAAAAGGAAACACCGACTAAAGTGACTATGATCGATTTTGAGAGATTTCATCAGCCAAAGGTCTGTGAAAGTTCCTCTCTCAAAAGGTCCTTGATGCTAGCCTACGTCCGTGTGTCGAGGACACCGATTGGGCCAAGATCTTGCAGCCAGTCATGGAGTTGGGGTCACAGGCAGGGAACAACCGGCGAAGAAGCACAGGTCCTTGCGCTTCTTGGAATAAAACAGAAGCTGCGGGTTTCTATATATATATATATATGTGTTTGCTGTGCTTGGTTTCGTAGTGAGCGATGCAAAGCCTGGACAGGTCAGGACGTCCCCACATCCGCAGCATCCGCATTGATCCCATCGGTGACGATCCTCGCCGTGCGGCGGTCAACTCGCCAGGCGCAAAAGGCCTGCGACTCCCGGAGCGACTTCTTCGCGCACAGGAGACTTAGACACGCCCGCGGAGGTATGAAGATTGTCTTGGAAGAGCCGCCCGCCGGGCCAATTTCTTTTCACAGTGTTTGTTGTTACTTTTTAGCCCGCCCTTACTTCTTTAAGTGGGTGCCCACTTAACTAAGTAAGGAGTATGGCCCACGCTCTGGACCGCACTATTCACTTGGTTCCTAAATTTATGGGGATCCGGGATGCAAGATGTTCAAAGATGTGAGAGGCAGACATTTGATGAAGTGAGATAGGATTTAATTGACTTGGAAGCAGGATGTACTTCAGGAACTTGAAAGCCAAAGATGGATCAAGAAGGCCCAACAGGTTGAATTATATAGATTCTATATTTTACACTACAAATGAATCATGAGCCTAAATATGACCAGGATGCAGGTCTAGCTTGACGCGTAAGGGTGCCATTGTGCAGACAAGGTGAAGACTTGTGTGCATGGACATCCAGATCAAACAAGTTCAGGAAAAAGACACAAGAGCTGTTACGCTGTTTCTGCTTTTTCTGTGAACTTGGTGCGGAGTGCCAAATGCTCGCACGCGGGGTGTACAAACCATGTCTTATCCTGGTGTGGTTTGCCTGGAGTGAAGCCTTGTTTTGCACAGAGAAAAGATACTGTCAATATGATATGATATGAGGAAATAATGAACAAACAGCAACAAATCAATTCAACATGCCACACCCTGGAGATTAAAAAAACAAGAAACAAGACAACACAAATAACGACCAAAACAAGCCAAAACCGAAATCTCCAGCAACCTCATGATGTGTATAATTTACATGTGTTTTTCAAGGAAATCCATCCAAGGATCCTATCCGAGCGAGCCGCTGAGATCCGATCCCCAAGGGCCGGCCTCAATGGGTCCTAGGCAGAGCGCTTGGCAGAAGGCTGCAAACATAGGCACATTGATTTGCTGTGGCTGGGAATGTTAAGCTGATGAGAATATGTGCATGCTTGGTGTTTTCCCTGACATCCAAACCCACAAGGTGGACAGCTGCTCCCTGATCGTTGGTTCTTTTGCCCCGCTTTCGAGACACCGGGAAGCAGGGGAAGCAGTCTGAAAAAAAAGTATGAAAGCAGGTAAAGCTGCTACCCCTGGAAGAGCAATCCCGAACACTCAATCCACCAACAAAACCGAGCAACAAGAAACCAGAGGCCTCTTACCTGAGGTCCTTCCGGACGTTTGTGAACGCCAGGAAAGCTTCAGCCGAGTCGTTGAACGTGATCATGTTGGGACACTGAGACGTTGCTTCTTGAGCCACGACGGAACGAGATGAGAAACGATGTGGCAGGAATGCGACGGATCCATGTCCTTCTCCCTTTTCCTATTCCGTTTGCCATGGTCCAAAGTTTGCAAAGGCTCCATGGTAAGCAAACAAATATGACCTACAAATATGACCATAGGTCACATGGACCATGGAAGGTATCCAAAAACGGCTTTGAGACCCGATCGATCTATTATGTATGTTTATTTATACTCCCGGTGTAGCGTAGCGGATTGGTCGGGATCCAACAAACTCATCACCTCCAGTGACCACTGTTCATCTCGCAAGGTCTGATTGGGGACTGAAGGGAGGCCCCTGATTTGGTTGGTGGAGCCAGGTGGATGCAGATGGGCTAGTTTTGAGGATATTCGCTGACCATAATATGTGGAGGCTCTTCACATGAGTGTTTGTTTACTCCTTCCTGCAACCGTAACCTACAAAACATTCTTTCCACGGACTGTTTGCCCCGAGTCGCAGGCCAGAGAGGACCTATTGAGCGATTTTAATTTGTTCCCATCCAGTAGCAGTACTACAAGAAGACGGCATGAGTGTCCCGCTGATGTTTGCTTGGGTTACGCTGTTGTTTTAGTTGTGCAGTAATCAGGAAAGGAACAAAGGATTTTACGAGTGCCTCAGCGCTACTACGTCCTGCTACGCTGACAACCTCAGTCCAAAAGCCAAGTCTGCCGGCTGAGTCCATCTGGAACAGTTGCACAGCTGTGCAGAGTCGACGATCGAAAAGTGAAGAGTTGAAACGTATGTTCTCACTGAGCATTTGGGTTGGAGGCCATTGCTATTAGTTTGGAGGCTATCGCTATTGAAACAAGAAACGCAGAGATCCAACAGAACCGAAGGCTGTGGACAAAGACTACAGTTCCTGCCTGTTCCAGCGTTGCCAGCTCCAGGCCGCAACAGGGCCCTGCTTGAGCTCTACTTGAAGACATACTACTAGTAGCGTCCTTGCTCCTAGTAGCGATGCCAGGAGCCCCTAGTAGCTTCTTGTTACTACTAGTAAGGCACTTGTTACTAGAAGCGATGCACTTGTTCCTAGTAGCGTCCTTGCTCCTAGTAGCGATGCCCTTCGGCGCTTCGTCCAGTTGTGCTGAGGCTCGTGACGTCTCCATCGCCACCGTCCCACGTGCCGGGCCTCAACGACCGAGAGCCCATCGCTCGTCGTGCTGGGGAGCGCAAGTCATACAGTTGCTGGACAAGCCCGTTGGAAGCCTTGGAATGTGTTTTCCTCAAGGATGGTGCAGGATTTCGTCAAGTGTACGAGTTCTATACAATAGAATAGGTTGAACTGAACACGCCGGACATTGTCCAATACTTGCTATCCAGGCACGGTTAAATGGACATTCAGCAGCTATGAAATGTTTGAAGGTATCGCACCCATTAAATTTGAACGGATAAGGAGCCCAAACAGCTTCAACGTGCATACAGTTAGGTTTGTCGTATTCCATGTAGCAGTGGGTAGAATATGATCACTAGCCGCTATTCTTTGTCCAGGCCTCGAATAAGCATCATCATCATCATCATCATCATCATCATCATCATCATCATCATCA